ATCGTCGACGACCGAATTCCTTCTGATCGGCTCGATTCATTGGCGCTGCGTAAGGATGTTGCATCCTTTTGCATTTTCTATCGTATCTACCATAAGGAGTGTTCTGAGTAATTGTTCGGATTAGTTCCAGCCGTCAAATTTCACGAATGCACATCGCGTCAAAATTCCCGATACCTACCATCCTCACCATCTGGATGCTTGGCGGTCCACTACTGTTCTTTTTCAAAATGTTGCGTTGGCAAAGAAAGAGAAATTTCATAGGTGATTACGATGATTAATAGAAATAAAAAATATAGAAAAACAATACGTTAACTTATTTCATAAAAACCGGCAATTTCATAGGCAAAGACCTAATCTATCTATACATATAATAAAAATGTAAGTTGCAAATGTGTGGACATTATATATTGTTGTAACAAAATTGATTGAGAGGGACTAAAAATAAGTAACTGAATACATTTCTACCATTTTTAGAATTGTCTGTCTGTTTGTTGTTAACGTATCATGCATAAAGTACTTATTTATATCAAAATAAACGATAGGAAAACTGTGAAGCGTATCTTCGTTTCAAATTTAGTCTTTGTTTTTTAATATCGGTTAATTCGCGCGAGCGCCTTTAGGACATTCAGTACTGATCAGTATGTTTGATCGGACGATCGTCCGATCTATACGATGCGTCGATAATCGGACGACGAAAACTAGACAATTCCGTCACATCGCACGATTGCACGAGCGATGGCAGTAAGACGGCGTCTTATGCTCGTATTTTTGCATTCAGGCACAACATGCTACTGATAAAGATGATAACTCATTATAAACATTCAAAAGTATTCTTCTTCGCCATGTCCAAACTTACGGCCAATGCCTCCCCCTTGGACTCTACTACCTCCGCCCATCTATGAGTAAGGTAGAGATCCAGAAGATCACCAGCTGATCGGCCACGACGGAAACCGTACTGGCGGTCACTGATCAGCTGGTGATCCTCAAGGTACCTCATGAGCCGGCAGTTTACAATAGACTCCATTATTTATAGTTGGACGGGTCTGAGCGGTCGCCTTTTTTAGGGATCGGGTGGACCAAACCTGTCTTATGTTAGGAGGCAGTTTCCCTCCCATGCAGTTAGCTTACATTTCGTGTACAATGCGGACTTTAAACATGTACAAAAATAAAATAAAAATAATAAACAAAGTGTGTTTGCGTGCGTGCGTGTACGTGTGCGTGCGAACGTGTGCGTGCGTACGTGTGCGTCTTCGTGCACGTGTATGCGTGCGTGCGTGTGTGTGTGTGTGTGTGTGTGTGTGTGTGTATGTGTGGTGTGTGTGTGTGTGTGTGTGTGTGTGTGTGTGTGTGCGTGTGGTGTGTGTGTGGTGTGTGTGTGTGTGTGTGTGTGTGTGTGTGTGTGTGTGTGTGTGTGTGTGTGTGTGTGTGTGTGTGTGTGTGTGTGTGTGTGTGTGTGTGTGTGTGTGTGTGTGTACGTATGTGTGTCTGTTTTTGTTAAAATATGTGCTTAAAGTAGGTTTCACGATTTTCATAGTCGTATTCTTTTAGCCAATTTAAAATAGTTTGTTTAATATATTATATATACGATATGCATTTGTATATATACGATTTTCGCACACTTAGGGCATTTGCCAATTCATATACTTTAGATGTTGGGTATGTATAAGGAACATTTAATATTAGTTTTAATAAAGATTTTTGTGCTCCAAATCCAGACCATCCCAGTCTGTACCATGAAAGAGGATTACAGTATCGTCCGCAAACATAAAAAGGTCCGCACTATCGATATTAATTTTACACAATTCATTTAGGTACGTCATAATAGTGTTGGTGGAAGTGTGCTGCCCTACGGAACACCATAGCTGCATTCGGCTTTATCACTTAGCTCGATGCCAACACGTAATATTTGAGTTCTGTCTATAAGGTAGTTACAAAACCATGCATATGGCATACCTCTTATACCTAGATTTTCGAGAAGTCCGAGAAGTATAGGAATAGACACAGTATCGAACGCTTTTTGCAAGTCTAATAAAATACATATGCATTTATCACCTTTGTCTACATAAGATGCAATTTTTAAGTCAGTTGTAAAACTGCGTCTTCTATTTAACGATGTGCCCTAGAACCAAATTGATTCGCAGCTAGATATCCGTAGCGCTTTAGATATTTTGTCAATCTTTTGTTCATGAGCTTCTCAACTATTTTTGAGAAAGTAGGTAACAATGAAATCGGTCTGTAATTTGAAGGAGCGGTCTTATCACCAGATTTAAATATTGGTGTTACTAAGGCCTGCTTGAAGGATGACGGAAATTGCCCTGGTTAAAAACTTAATATTAGTTTTAAATATGCTATAAGTGCGCAAAGAATTTGACTATACCTTTTAACGAAATTAACAGTAATTTTGTCCCAGCCAGGGGAACTATTTGATTTAAGTTCGTTAATAGTAGTTTTCAATTCCTAAGGATCTGTTAAGAAAAACGCCATCGAATGTGTTGGACCTGTCTGTTTGACATTATCAGCAAGTTCTGAGACTGATTTGCCTATGATGTTCAGAGTATAATTTGCAAGCTGTGAACCAATTGTAGTAAAATAGATGTTTACTAAATTAAGTGAAGCTTTTGGAGTATCTTTAATTGTTAATAATTCTGTCGTCGGTTGTTTGGATTAGCTTAGATTACGAATTTCTTTAATTATCATCCATATTTTTCTAACGTTTCTAATACTGATATGTAGTTCTTGTTTGCAATACTGTCTTTTTAAGTTTTTTATTATGTTATTACATGTGTTTCTGTATTTTCTATAGTGAGATGCTAAATCTTCATTAGTATTTTCCTTTTTTGATTGTTCAAGTAATTTGTCCCACTTTCTTATTGATCTTACAACTCCTGGTGTTATCCAAGGTTTTAATGGCATATTTCATTTAGAAAGAGTAATTCTAATTGTATTGGCTTGTATTAAATCTTTTATAATATTTGTAATGTACTCTGCAGCATCATTGACATTGTCAATTCTGTAATATTCTTCCCAGAGGTCATTTATCTTGTCAAAGTCAATTTTTTATTTATAAAATTTAGATTTGTTTTTACCAATTTTTACTCTGTCAATTAGTAATAAAATAGGGTGATGGTCAGTAAATTCATCAAAAACAATAGATGTAATGCTATGTTGGGCTCGTACCATCTAATCATAAAATGATCTAACTACGCTTATTTCCTTGTCGGAAGATAAACGCATTGTTTTAAGCCATACATAGATAGCATATTAAGATACAGAATACTCTTTTATAGCACATGGCATAACACCTAAGTTTACATCTCCAGTTAGAACTACGATACTTGTATTTATGCTATGAATTATTTTATCAAGTGATGTGATATACTTCGTTGGATTGCGAAAACTTGGTGATCTATATGTACAGATGACCGTGGTGTCTGTTTCAACAGTCAGTATTAGCACATTGCCATCATCAACTATTAGTTCATATGATTTGACGCTTATATTATTTTTAACGTATCCTACCACACCGTCATTCTGGTTATATAAATGTTTAGTATAATAGTATGACGTGTAGGTATTTATTTCCAGTATTATGGAATCATCGGGTGCGTTTGGCAGAAAAAAGCGCTAGCAAGCGCTTATAAGCGCTAAAATAGTTTTCGGCCAGGACACAATTGCTACTTCAGTAGCGCTGACACAATCCGCCATTTTGCTTATTTAATTTGTTTGTTTTGAAGTAGAGTTTATAAGTTGTTTTGTGCAATATTAGTTTTAAGTAATATAATGACATGAATAAACATATACATGCTATTAAAAACTCATGATTGGTAAATTTTTAATATGAATACTTTACAAACATATATTTAAATTAGGTTAGATTCCCCGGTTAAAACTAACATCGTGTCCTGGAGGAAAATAGCTACTTACGATTTGACAGCGCTTACCGCTTACGATCGCCATTTTGCTTACAAGCGCTTGCTAGCGCTTTTTTCTGCCGAACGCACCCATCATTTAACCAACATTTAGTAAAAACTACAACGTCTACATTAATATTCAATTGTGAGATAAAAACTAGAAAAACACTTAATACACAAAAAGAAGAAAAGTTTGTAACATTATAGTTTTTTACATCTTTACAAAGGGAAGGACTTGAGAAGCTTATACACCTTACCTCGTTTACTTGGTCAATCTCATCAAAGACAGTTTAACTAGGAAGATTGAATAATAAAAGTTTTTATTTTTTTATAACTTATTCTCAGAGGTGTTTGGAAATATTCTTTCATATATGGCATACATTGACATATTATTTTGATTGCGTTGCAATAAGTAATAATTTTTCTAATAGACGTGTACACATAATATGTGAGTAAAATAACGTGTATTTGAGTTGGTTTTCGGAAGGAAGTTATTATGTGTAACTGTGGTTTTTGTGTAAATTATTGTATGAATTATGTGTGTGTACATGTTTTTATTGTGTTGTATATGTTACTTATGACTAACAAGTACATTACATAATAAGAATAAGCATACAAGTTCAGTAAAAGTAATAATATAAAAAGCTAATTAAGTTTAGATTACATGGATAGCTAAAATCTAGTCATTTTTGCGTTTTTATTTTTTAGGAAATCTGATTCCGATTCTACACGTATTGTTGGTGAGCCCTCTTCTCTACGTAGAAATACCTTTCCATATGTTGCCCAGCAGAGTTTAAATTTTTCTTTTGTAGCAAATTCTCTAACAAAGTAGAATAATCCTCTGGTTTTAGTTCTGAGATTTTCCGAAATATAAATTGGAATTTTGGGCCCTCCAATTTCCAGGTGTTCAATTCGTTGTGCTTATTTTCTTTAATGAAGGTTTTAACTGATCTAACTAAACTTGCTTTGACTAGAATTGATGTACATTCAACAATTATAGGCTTATTCGTGGTCTTAGAATTTGTACGGAAGACGAAGACGTCTTTGATATCAGATGGTTGAATTGGGGTCTTAATAACTGTACCTGGTTTAAGAATTAGATTTACAACAACAAGATTTAAGAATTAGATTTAGACAAGTCTTTTTTGGTTTCTGAATTATTTTTGGTATATTTGGAATTTCCTGGCTATTGTTGCGGGTTTGGCGTTCTTGCTGATCTATTTTAGCTTCTAATAAGCAAATATAACTTTTATCTTCTTTTATGTTTTCTTCCATCTTTTGCATCTTGTCTATAATTTCATCGTATTTCTTTAATGTAAAGTACACCGATTCTTGCAGTTTAATATTCTGTTCTTTTATTTCCTTCATAGTAACCTTTAAATCTATAAAAATGCTCAGTATTTCATTTTTGAAAGTCAACATATCCGAATTTTCATCTGCTTCCTCTCTTCTCCTTTTATTACGCTGGGAAACATAAGTCACTTCGACTTCTGTGCTATCTGTCATATTTAAGCTTGTTTCTGATTGACAAAGAGATTCAGAGGTGTTCACATTAAAAGCAGGCGTCGTTGGGGGCGTTCTTTTTTAGTGGCATTATTGGATAAACAAGATTGGCATTATTGGATGACTGATGAGTAATAAAATAGCAAAAGGTCGCAAGGGTATTATTGCAACAAGAAGCAACTAGGCGCTTGATATTTATGTTTCGTATTGCTATTTTATTTTTATAGGCGTTGTAAAAAATAATATCAATGTAGGTAATTCAAAGTCAAATTAGTTGATAACCAGTGATCGGAGTAGATAGAGCTGTTTGGGTGAATGGCCGCAAACATTGATGTTAACATGGATATGCCTCTGAAATCCCGGGTTTTGAAATTGTCGATTGATTTAAGTGAGTTAATATGCGCAGGTAGTAGGTAGCACAGAAACAGTATATATTTACTTATATACACACACAGGGATCCTGGAATGTTGTTAGAGGTAGCTTCGTGAAATATGAATTAATTAAGTAAAACTGTTAGAAACGATACTAAATATGCTTTACTGCACAAGAAAATATTAAATGCCTACACAATACAGAATAAAAAAGGATGCAAAGAGTTTTATAATTTTTTTTATTTAAACAGAGAGAAGAATTTTTTTATTGATAACTTTTTAATTACCTATACTATTTTTCTTGTAGTTAATATTTAGAAAATGTTTTCCGTCTTTTTCTAACAAAGCAATTTATCTCTCTTTTATTTTTATATGTTTATGCTCCATGTTGCCAAGCCGTCGTACGCGCTGTTTTCGTTGTTTATTTTTTTGTCTCTTTCTATCTTAAAACTTATGGCTTCTCTTGATAGAATTCTTCCAGTGTCAAGTCAGTCATGAAAGTAACAAGATAATAATAGTTAAAATAAGAGTTCTCAATTTAATGAGTGGGTTCACAATCTACAACAAAAGACGTCACCTATTTAAAATACCATCACCAAAATTGTTAAGTAATTTTACAGTTTAATATTATTAGTACGAATAAAAGCACATAAAATACTTACGAAAGGAGTATACACTAAAAGTTGTAATTGGGCAGGATATCGTGGAGAGAGAAAGAAATTTTAGGATACTCAAAGAACAGATGATTGACAGATCCTTTATCTAAGCCACATTCACAGATTGAGCTATCCCTAATCCTGAGTTTGGCCAAGTTTACAGGAGTACAAGCATGACCAAAGCGTAGGCGGCAAACAGTAGAGGTGGTAGCTTTACTAAAGTGGCGATATTGAAAAAACCAGGGTTTCGATGGGATATTCATTTAGACTTTGATATAGTGATTACATTTTAAAAATTTAGACTGATGCCAATTACTTTGCCAAGAAGACAGAAGGCCGGAGTTTGCCTTTGGCAGGAGGTCATGTGCATAGAGGCATTGTCTAGGGATAGAGCCAGATTTTGTTGCATCTTTAGCTAAATTATCAGCAATTTCATTGCCCTGAATCCCGCAGTGGCTGGCTAGGGATCCAAGCCAATACAATGTTCAGCCCTTTTTTATGACAATAGTACAGAGACTTTCTAATATTTAAAATTAGGGGGTATCTAATCTTAGAGTGAAAAGGACTGGAAACAATACTTTGAAGGCAACTAAGGGAGTCCGAGAAAATGAGGGTCCTTTTCAGACCATGTGATTCTGCATATGAAACTGCCTCTGAAATAGCCAAAGCCTAACCTGTGAATACAGATGAGTCAGGGGGGAGAGTTAAAATTTAAAATAATCCTGTGTTTAGGGATCCACACTGCAGAACCTACTAATCCATCGTCACTTAACTTTGAAGCATCAGTGTACATAGTTAACCAATCATGCCAATTTTGGAGGAGGAGCATATTTAATTTGTTATTTGCTTCAATAGTATTTTTATCTATTCCAATATCTGGAATAATGTCTGGATTGAATATTAGAGCCTCGTATGGGATATTGTAAAGTGGGTTACTAAGGGATTGATAAATTGGAGAGGGAATGTTGAGCAATTTAATATAGCTTTTTATAATGCATGGCAAATCCTTGTGGGACCAATATGGGGAGTCCCTGACCAACCGATACAAGGAATGAAGTTTGGAAAAGAGAGGATTGATTGAATAATATGCTACTTTAAACAAGAACCTATCTGAGAGATATTGCCTGCGTAGAGATAGAGGGGGCTCAACACATTCAACTTGAAGAGCGAGAATGGGAGTGGACTTCATGCTACCAGTTATTATACGTAGACATTTTGACTGGATTTTGTCCAAGGTATTAAGAGCCATTTTGCTACATGGCTCTAGTAAAAAGCACCCATAATCAAAGTGACTTCTAATTAGAGCTTTGTGTAAAAGCTTTTGTAAGTAGGGGTGAGAACTCCACCAAGCACCTGACAGAGATCGAATAAAATTGAGATTTTTTTCTCATTTGGAGGCAATATATGATAAGTGAGGAATTCCTGTCATTTTGTTATCCAGGATAACTCCTAACAATTTCACTTGATTTTCAGTGGGGATTAGAGTATTACCAATGTAGATGGATTCCTAGAGAAAACCACAGTACTGCATTTTAAAGGGGACATTGATAAACCATGCTCCAATAGCCAATTATTAAGAAAGTTGACAGCTTGGGATAAACGAGAGGTAGGCTCAGCAATAGAGACACCAGATACATATAAGGCTAGATCATCTGCATATTGCAGAATATTACCTAGATAATTTACAGATCTATCTAAATCAAGACTGAACCTTGTGGTAGTCCCTTCCAGGTAAGTCTAGCTGGTAGAAATCTTCATTCACAACGAATTAATATGCGTCCATGTGAAAGTAGGTTTGCTATGAAATTTGTTATTCTCTCGGGAATGTTCAGCTGATTCATTTTTTGCCTGAGCAGAGGGAGAGCAATGTTATCATATGCTGCACAAACATCAATGAATATACTTACGAGTAAGTTGTTATTAGAGAATGCCAGTCTTATATCAGATACTAAAATGCTAAGGCTATCCATTGTGCTAAAACCTTTTCTAAAACCAAATTGGGTCTTTGATATAATGCCTCTATTTTCGAGAATCCACGCAAGTCGATTTTTTACAAGATGTTCCAAGATTTTAGACAGGGTTGATGAAATAGCTATAAGGCGATAGCTTAATGTGGAAGAGGGGTCTTTACCAGGTTTTAGAATAGGAATAATAATATGTGTTTTCCAATGATCCGGAATAGAACCGGTTGTAAAAGCTATGTTAATTATGCTTAAAAAGAACTGCTTATTTGTAGTACCCATATTAACGAGGAATGAGTAGTAGATACCATCCATGCCAGGGGAGAAATCCTTAAGGTGCCTTAGAACCAACTGCAATTCAGCTAGTGAAAATGGTTCATTAAGATTATTAAAAGAGTTAAATGAGTGAGAGGGGGAATGGTTTTGAGGAAGGAGATATATCTTCCTCCAACGGAACCCAGGGGGGAGCCAGATGGTTACTGAAATCTTCTAGCCAATGGGAGGGGTTTGCACAAGGGGAATTGCTATCATTTAAAGCGCCACGGAATAGCCTAATACGTATCCAGACCAAAGAAGAAGGAGATTGAGGAGCTAAGCTCCCACAGAACGAAAGCCATCCTTTTTTTTCTTTTCAGAAAGAAGTTTTTTGGACTGAGCAGTTATTTTCTGATAATTAAGAAAATTTTCTATTAACATATTAGAGGAATATAGCTGTTCTGCTGCCTTTCGTTTTTTAATAATTGAGGAACAGTCTGCGTCCCACCATGGAGGTGAAGAAATTTTACTTGTGAAGCAATTTATTATTCAGAAGGGTTATAAATTGGGAATAGGCACTCTGGAGGTTATCCGGAGATACAGGGGGGATTATTGATATTAATTTCTGTTTCTGAGGAGAATACATCCCAATCAGCTTCAGACAGATTGAATTTAAGAAGGGGTGATACATTTCGAGTAGGAAAACATCAATTACTTAGGTTTAAAAGGATGGGAAAGTGATCAATTCCAAAAGAAGAAGGGAGAGTTTTCCATGATATGCTAGCAGCCAGGATTGGAGAGCACAATGACAAGTCTACTGCAGATCTAGAATTCTGCGAAGGGTAGGCCATTCTGGTGGGAGAACCGTCGTTTAGGAGACAAAGATTAAATTCATTAAAAACATCAAGTAGCAGATAAGAAAAACAGTCAGATTTATGGGAAACCCACATAACATGATGACTATTAAAATCTCCGAGAATAAGGTAAGGTGGAGAGATGCTTTATAAAATTAAATTGAGTTCTGATATACAAGAAGGTATGGGAGCCGGAATGTAAATGGATAGGATTGTGATATCCATAGCCTTAACAGCTACTGCATTTATATTGCCTTGTACAGGAGGACGAGGAATGGGTGATAAGGGAATGGTCCTGTTTAGTAAAATCAGAGCACCACCATAGCCATCGCTCCTATCACTACGATAATATGAGAAGCCTGGGATTCTAAATGTGGACCCTAGCTTAAGCCAGGTTTCCGATATTGCAGGTATTGAAGGGTTATGAGTATTAATTAAGTGAATTATATCAGGTTTTTTATTCCTGATGCTCCGACAATTCCACTGGAGTAAGTTTAGGGATTCGAACTTTATATATTCTGGAGAAGAGGACGTCACGTTGAATGGTAAATGGGAATCATCGAATTTGCCAACAATATCTGTAAGAGAGGCCACAAGATTTTCTAGAAGATTATTATTAGGAGACATTATATTGCTTTGAAAAGCATGACCATTGGGAAGAGAGGACAAAGGAGTACTTGTAATGTTATAATGTGAAACTTTATCATATCCTAGTGAAGATTGCACTGGCATATATTTGGCTTTATAAATAGTTTTATAAAGCCAAATATATGCCTATAGGACTGAGAAGGAGACAGAGTAGGAGGGTTTCCGATGCCTGAGGAGATGGGAGATAGCTTACAGGACTTTGTGAAGATACAACATCAGAATAAGGTCTTCTGACATCCGGGAAACGGGCGGAAGCC